GTAGAGATTTAATTAAATTTTGTTTGATCAAATTTCAACCGTTCATTCGTGAAAAACGATGCGAGAAAGAGAATTAGATCAAAGTCTAGTCAACCTGAGTGCAGCGAACTTGTAGAATGGATGGAGGACTTGGAATTTTCGACCCCATCGATTTCCTAGCAAGCTTCAGCTTCTTATATATTTACTTGTATGCTCACCTCAGTACCCAGCCATCTACAACCAAAAAAAAAAAAAACTTCGTAAAAATGGATAGGTTCCATGATTGCTTATTCAACCCTACTTTTCACCTCAATATTTGCTCTTTCTGGTTTAATTAAAAACAAAAATTTTAATTTAAATATATTTTTGTGTTGGCAGTATTGTTTTCCGGGGATGTGGCTATCTGACTTGACAAGGAATCAATATGAGGTCAAGGAGAAGATATGTGTAAAGAATGTAATATGCTGCTCTTTCCTAGTGTTTTCCTCAGTTTTTTTTTTTTTTATAAATTTTAAATTTCCACACACCCTCATTAATATGGAAAAGGAAATATATTTTTGCTAGAGAACAAGATCCAACTAGATTTGAGGTTAGGTGTTATATGAAACTGAGTTCAATGCTATCGTCGCGTTTCAGTTTAAAAATTTATTGATATATAAATAAAAAACTTACACATGATAATGCGTTATTAGACTATAACTTCGACGATAAACACGATACATATAAGGTATTCGTATAATATTGACATTGCTCAAAAGTTTGTGACTAATTGTCATTCACTTTTTGTTTTCTTAGCAGAGGGAATAATTAGGTGCTTAAAGTGGAGAATAATAATATTAAACATTGTCTTTTCATACCAACATTAATAATTTTTCTTATAGTGGTGAAAAGTGAAAACAGCCTGTATTCGATTTATTTATGGAAGTGTATTTTGACATTTCATTTTTTAGTGTCAATGACATGTTATTCCTCTTTGGTTTTTCAGCTAAAATGGTCTATGAACTTATTATAACTTCTTATTTTAATCTTTGAGATTTAAAATCAATAAAAGTGATATTTGAGATTGTCTACCGTCAATCATTTTGGTATTTTAGTAAAAAATATTTGTTAAATTAAAGAAACTACCAGCTCAAGAGGAGGAGTTGATTTGACAAAAATATCCTCAATTTAACAAAGATTTATCATGGAACGGTGGGCAATCTTAGGACAATTTATATCAATTTTAAATATCAGGAATGAAAGTAAGGAGTTATGTCAATCTCATAAATAATTTTGGATAAAAAAAACTTCCTCTTTTAATTCCAAATCTCTGTGCAATTTCGTTAAATGGTAAATATATTAAATAAATGCAGGAGCATGACTAGTTATCAAATTTTGATTTGTTTATAATGCCTAATAACTCCAAATTTTCTTTTATTTGTTTTATGCCAAGTATACAAAATTTAATATGACAAAGAAGAGGAATGCTACTTACATTCTCCATTTGCCTTTCTCTATGTATCTTCCTCACTCACCACTTGATATGTGTATTCCACTAGTAAATTAAATAACATAATTAATGCATTGAAATCATAAATTCTACTTAAAAGTAACATCTTCAAAAATAAATTGAATTTAAATCCTCCAAATAAAAAACATGAAGTTTTAGAATCTAACATGCGATTAAAATATTTAGCAACTTAAGATCATGTCTAATTTCGAATGCAGTATTGGAAATAAAACTTAAATCAAAACCCGAATCTTTTTATTGAAGTTATTAAAACATCAGGGGCTGTTCATAAGTTGAGATTGTTTGAAGATTCGTTTGGGTGCATTTATGTTCCTCACAATGAATTATGGTATATGCTCATCATGTACTTTGTCATTTGACACGTATCATTTCACTTAACATAGTTATTTTTATTCAAAATTAGAAAGAAAAAAACGTTTAATATTAAAGTTAACTATAATTAGTTGAAAAGACATGTGTTAGATGATGAAGTGTATGATGGGAACACACCATAGTTACGTTGGTGAGGAAAATGCAAAGAGAAAAGAGAAATTGAGTGAGAAAATGTTGTTGAGTTCGCAAAGGCCCTTGAGGGTTTAATATGGAGCATTGGAAGTTGCAACTTCTTTTATTCTATCTCTCAGGAAAAGGATCCGCTCCGGACCTTAGTGTCCGAAACCTCCTCATCAAGCAATCTAGGTCGTTGATTGGTGTGCAAGTCAACTCAAGGCCGTCAGTTGTGTGTAGTGGACCAGGAAAATGAATTAATAGAGATCGTTGGATTTAATTTATGTTGTCTAGATTATTTGATGAGAGGCTCCGGACACTCAGGTCCGAAGCAAATCCCCTTCCGCTTAAATCAAGGAGGTTACCATACTGTTCAGTTGTACCATGGATGTTGTTGAGTTTCCCAAATCAACTTGATGGAGTGATGAAGTTAAAGAGCCAAACTAAGACAACTATGCTAGAAGAAACCATATCCAACTTTAGTTTTGAAAATAATTGCTATGTAGATTTAAAGAGGGTAAAAAGACAATTGGGTCCTCTATCACAAAAATAAAATCTTAGGTAGTGATGTGATCTCGTAGAATTTAAATTTTGTTGTTTTATTTTCAACATCATCCACATATTATTATAGCATCTTTAATTTAAAAAATAAATAATTCCACATTATCTCTCTCCAACTTCTTTCTTTTTCATATTTATATATATATATATATATATATATATATATATATATATATATATATTGTGACATCCCACATCACCCAGGAGAGTGATCCTTAAATGTATATTCTCATCCCTACCTAGCACGAGACCTTTTGGGAGCTCACTGGCTTCGGGTTCCGTAGGAACTCCGAAGTTAAGCGAAAAGGGGGCCAGAGCACTCCCAGGATGGGTAACCCACTGGGAAGTTGCTCGTGAGTTCCCAAAAACAAAACCGTGAAGGGATGGTAAGCTCAAAACGGACAATATCTGCTATGGTGGTGGAGCGAACCTGGGAAGTGATCCGCCCCGGGCCGGGATGTAACATAATGGTATCAGAGCCAATCCCTGGTCGGAAGTGTGCCGATGAGGACGTCGGCCCCTTAAGGGGGGTGGATTGTGACATCCCACATCGTCTAGGGGAGTGATTCTTAAATGTATATTCTCATCCCTACCCAGCATGAGGCCTTTTGGAAGCTCACTGGCTTCGGTTTCCGTAGGAACTCCGAAGTTAAACGAAAAGGTGACCATAGCACTTCCATGATGGGTGACCCACTAGGAAGTTGCTCGTGAGTTTCCAAAAACAAAATCCTGAGGGAATGATAAGCCCAAAACGGACAATATCGTGCTACGGTGGTGAAGCAAACCCTGGAAGTGATCCGTCCCGGGCCGGGATGTGACAAATATATATATATATATATATTAAACTTTTATATTCACACACATATAGTATATAGGCTTCATCTAATTTTTTTATTAAGAATTCAAGTGCTTTTGAAAAAAAAAATAATTATTAAGAATTTTTGTGCTTCTTCATAAAACACAGTTATGATGTAGAAGCTCTTTTAATTTATTGTCAATTTTAATCAAAAGTGTTTTTTGGTTGTTGAAAAATACTTTCAACTATTACAACACAAAACTACTTTTTTCACACGTGCACTGTAGACGTTAAAACTCAATTTCTGGTTAACATTTGGGCATGTTGAAGGCCAAAATAGAGTAAACTGTCGGTTTACCCCCTGAACTTTCACCTTACTTTCGATTTCCCCCCTGAACTTTTTCATTGGAAAATTAAGGACTCAAACTAATTTTTTTAGCCAATTTGCCCCCTACCGTTAGTTTTTCATATATTCCATCCATATTTCTGTTTAAGTGAGACCATGTGCACAACATGTGAGGGTAGTTAAGTTATTTCACTCTTAAAATGATTAAAAAACTGAAAATAATAAAAAAAGCAAAACTTTCCCTCTATTTTTTCCCGCTAATTCCTATCCTCGATTTTATTTTTCCCTCTCATTCCTATGCATGAGAAATGACATATGGTGTTATTGTCTACCATTTTTATTTTCTCTAACAAATTAATAATTTGACAAATGCTAATGGTGCTATTGTCTCCAAAGCAGTGCATTAATATAAGAAACCCTAGTCTTTTTTATGGACATGTTTCTTATATTAATGCACTGCTTTGGAGACAATAACACCATGAGCATTTGTCAAATTATTAATTTGTTAGAGAAAATAAAAATGGTAGTACATGCTTCAAAAAAAAGATTAACTTAGCTACTTATGAAGACAATAACACCATATGTTATTTCTCATGCATAGGAATGAGAGGGAAAATTAAAATTGAGGATAGGAATTAGCGGGGAAAAATAGAGGGAAAATTATTATTATTATTTATTTTCAGTTTTTAATCATTTTTAAATTGAAATGACTTAACTATCCTCACATGTTATGCACATGGTCTCACTTAACGGAAATATGGATGAAATATATGAAAAACTAACGGTAGGGGGCAAATTGGCTAAAAAAATTAGTTTGAGTCCTTAATTTTCCAATAGAAAAGTTCAGGGGGAAATCGAAAGTGAGGTGAAAGTTCAAGGGGTAAACCGACAGACACTACTACAAATTTTGACTTTACCTACAAAACTACTTTGTCGGAAAAGGCCAAAATTTGTCGGCAAAGAGTCTTTTCCGACGAAAAAAATTGTCGGCCATTTTGTCTCGCAAAGCATGTCGCCTAAGAGTTTTCCCTACAAATTTTGGTATTTTGTCGGCTAAGGTTCAAATTTTACCGACAAACAGTTTTTTGTCGGCATTTCCATGTGTCCCGACAAATATTTCGTCGGTAAAAGGCATTTTAGCCGACCAATAGTACTTTTAAGCCAACAAAATATGTTTGTCACCATGGATATTTCGTCGGCATAGTCTTCTCTGTCTTGACAAAACTGGTTTCGTCGGGAAGGACATTTAATTTATAAAAAAAAAATTAATAATTACTTTAATGCTCAACAACTACATAAACATATCAAAATACAATACACAGTTGTTAAGAAATAATACTTTATTGATTGATAAATTTTTAATGTACATCTAGAGTGCTTATACGAAAGCATATGTTACACAATAATATTATCCTACTGTCATTCCTCAAAATTGGCTGCCATGTAGCATCACAAAACATCCTGCACCTGCAAAATAAATGTTACAAAACACAAACATAACCAAATAGGTGCAAAATAAATGTTACAAAACACAAACAATAACCAAATAGTTAGAAGGCGCATTGAAAATGTGCACCAACCTGGCCACCACGATTCATTTGTAGCGCAATGGGAAAAAAGAGTTTCAGTTCTTGCGCCAGTGTGATTCAACGACAATCAATAATCAACACCCGCCTTGTATAATATCACCAAAATGGACACGCGTGCAACAAAAACGACAATCAATAACCAACACAACATGATACCACCAAAATGAACACAAGAGTGCAGCAAAACTGATTTGAATAATGTGATAAGGAAAAGGGCTAGGCCAACCTTTGCAAATTGTATTAGTGGAGCACTCGGGTCCCAGGTAGTAGTCATCAAAATTTTCGGGTCTCTTTGAGATGCGTTTGCATACGTATTGTTAATGTGACCTTGGGACTGAGATTCAGAAATGAAAGCCATGAAGAATCAACAACATAACTTAATGAAAAACTAAACAATTACATGTTCAAATTATCACCAAATTACACAAGACTTTACGACAGTGATACATTATAAACAAAAGAAAAAAAGTAACTTTCATATATAACTGATCATATATACGTTATAGACTAGAGAGATAACGAACCTTCTAGAGCTTCTTTGATCTTGCACTTCTTCGCATAGAGCAGTCATTGTTTGCCTCCCAAGCTCTTTCTGTACAAGTACTATTTTTATGGAAGATTAAATAATGCCAAAGAAACACCAGTGAAAAATGAATCCAAATCACCAAACTGAATGTGTGCCGTTACTAAACATTTCTACACAGGCTGGGATTAAAATCTAACCAGTTAATGATGAAAGAAAGTTAAATAGTTACTAAACATTATTGACTTGAAAATGAATCATGTACCAAATGACTGGTGGTTGTCAAAACAACGAGAAAAATATACCCCGAGAACAATAAAGGATTGCAACAGAAGAATGGGAAAATGACCGATTTCTCATAGCGGTCACCCTCAGAGGCGGTGCAGATCTCAGAGGTGTAGGCCAATATGTGCTCATTGTTCCAGTATGCTTCTTGCTCATGTCTAGCATTAGACATAATCAAACTACTCCGACATGCAAGAAAATGCAAGGGATGTCATCAATGTATTTAGGATAAACATAAGGCAGAGGAAAACAAAATATAAAAATATATTCTCATCACAATCAAACTTACCTGCAGAAAGCTCATTGCTCATAGTGTTCTGCACAATAGAGGGACAATTCAGATTTTTTTTACTCACTTATTTGAGATCCTAGCCTCCAACACAGTTGATTTGATCAATAATCTAAATAACACGCATAAATCAGAAGCAAATTATATAAAATGAAGATAGAAGATAAATTAATACCACAGAAGCATTCCCAAATTGATGTTCTCGTTTAGGAATTAATAATAGACAGAAAATGAAAAAGATTAAAAAACAAAAACACAAATCCTAGAAGCAAAATATCATATAACCTTAACCCGACAACTTCATTAGTAACATGACCCTAATTTCAATTGATTAAACATAGGAATTGATTGATGTGGTGCAAAGATTCACAATTGATTATGACTATAAAACCATAACTGCATTTTGATTGTAGTTTCTCAGAAATAAAAGTTAAAAGTAATTAAAATTCAAAAAGTAGACTAATCATCCTCAAACCCAGGCAGCCCAGAAAGAAATTACAAACCTAACTTAGATTCTCAACCAAATTCATTACCTAAAATCCCTCAAAATTACAGTGGTAGAACAAATCTAAGAAAAGCACCATAAAATTGAAACTAACCAAAAAGCTACGGGGAAAGAATAGGGTAGATAGAGATTGAGAACTTACCCAAAGTTTTAGAGAACGAAATGCAGAGAAGCACCCGGCATTAGAAATTTCAAAGCTAGAATGATCGGGCACTTCGACGGTGACGCGAGCAGACGTATCGACGGCGATGTCGAGCACACGAAGCGACGACGATGTCGGGCATACGGAGCGACGGCGATGTCGATGGAGCTCGATTGGAAGACAGAAAGTTACGATTTCAAAGAGAAGGGGAGGGGTGGGCTATCGACAATTAAGATTAGGGTTCAATGAAAATACAATGATTTTTATAGGGGGAATTTTCGATAAAAAGAAGAAGCGGGTGAATCAAAAAGACCAAAAAACAAAAGGCGCGAGAATAAATTAGTCCGTTCCCATCTTCTGATTGTCGACAAACCTGCATGCTTTCCCGAGTGTTATTTTATTTGTCGGCATAAATATTTTTCGCCGACAAAAATATTGTCGGCACAAGTTCAACAATTATGAGCCTACAAATTAAAATTTTCGTCGGCGAATGAGTCTTGTGGCGGCAAAATTTTACTTTGTCAGCTTAGAATTTGTCGGCAAAATAATATTTTCTAGTAGTGAGATTACCCGCCAAAATAAGACCTCGATTATGTGAATAAACACTCTTGATCTTGAATGTAACCCGCTATGAATTAGTCTACTCTAAACCACTTTAATCACAAATATTTGCTATACACTCTAGTCCAAAAATGATTAGAGTCAAATGTATATTCAATCACATCAGCATGTGACACTTTATAACAGTGCTATAAAAAATAATGCATATGCATCATGGTGCACTTCAATCTTCACTGATTTTTTTTCATATCAACAACTATCTATTTAATGGAGTAGGATATCTTCCCTCCTTTTCATCCCTTTCCCTCTCCTTCTCTCACATATTATTTTTTGTCTTATTGTTTTTATAAAAAAAATCAATATAAGATGTTGACGTGGCTAAACTGTAACAATTTAAATAAAAGGAGAGGGAAAGGGAGAGAGATTAGGAGGGGAGAAAATCCTTCTCCCTATTTAATTCACTAACCCTATCATTTATATAAAAAATATAATTAAATCATATTTAACTTTTCACATTGGAACTAATGAATATTTAACTCACTAACCTTATCATTTATTTAAAAAAAATACTAGCAAAGAGCACACACTTTGTGTGTGTGAACAAAATAGATATATGATTGTCATTTTCTAAAAAAAATGCGGGTAAAATAGAAAAAATAGGGATATGATTGTCATTTTGTCAAAAGATACAAAATTAAAGCATCTTCAACCGCTCACTTCCTCCCACGTTCTCTTCAAGCACAACCGTTTCAGTTCATTCAAACTATCCAAAAAACATCATGATTTCACTTACGTGTATGAAAAAATGATGGTGGGATAATTTCTTTTAATAAGTGCATATTTTTTATCTTATGTCAATATTTCGATATAAAATTACTATTTTGCCCTCCTTATGTAAATATTGTTTATCAAAAGTGAGGGTAAAATAGGAAAAAAGGACAGAAAGTTCAAAAAATACAAAATTACTACTTTGCCCTTCTCATGTCAACCTTGTGTATTCAAAAGTAAGGGCAAAATTGAAAGAGAAGGGAAAAAAGTTCAAAAGATACAAAATTACTATTTTACCTCCCTCATGTGTGTATTCAAAAGTGAGCAAAATTAAAAGAAAATGGGATGAAAGGTTGACAAGTGCTCTTTTCTTAATCGAATCAGATTTAACTTTTCACATTGGAAATAATGAATAGTTATTTTATTTTTTACCCAAACGAGAAACGATACCCCTCGAATCAACGGTTAAACCCATTTACCGTCTTAACACCCCACACTCATGAAACACTAGTCAATCAATGGCACCCCCGAATTAACAAAATTAGGGTTTACTGCGCCCTTCTTCGAATTCATCGAACTCCAGAATCTGTAGCACCAAGGAAGACAAAAGCACATTCACCCATTTGTGTTCGCACCCGCTCCTACTAACTACACTGCCAGAGTAAGCTCGAATTCATTTGGGTACAAGAATGGTACGCACTCTCTCGCAACTGCTTTTCTTCATTTGGGTTCAATCTTCAGTGTGTTAATTGATGTTTTCACTGTTTAATTTCCAAATCCCCGTAGTATTAATCGAAACCGGCTTCAATTGAAAAACCCCAAAACACAAAATTTAGGTTTCATGGAACAGAAGCATAAGATATTGGATAGTTCAAGTTGTGAGGATGAAGGAAGTAGTCTTGGTCGTAAGGAAGATAGATTCAGTGGTCTCCCCGACGGAGTTGCTTATCGCATTCTTTCGTTTCTTACTATAAAGGACGTCACTTGTTTCAGCATTGTGTCCAAAAGATGTAGAGAACTTTATCTCTCAACTCCGTCATTGGATTTTGAATTCAGGACTACGAGAACACCCTCGGGTGAGTATAAGAGTTTCCGCGAGGCCACATGTGAAGTTAGATTGAGTTTGATGAACTCATTGGATAGGTTCTTGCTTCAACGCGGGAATAACAAGATAGAGTACTTTCGTCTTGTGTGGGAGAATCACTCTGTAGTCGAAGAAGACAGTGACGACCTAAGGGATGAAGAACCATGCTTCTGTGTTAATGAGCGTTTCCGGATAATGACTTGGATTCATAATGCACTGAGGTGTAATGTTGAAGTTCTTGATGTTAAGAGCGATGTAGATTATTTTGAGGATGAGCCGTACGCATTGTTTCCTTCTTGTGTCTTTCTCTGTGCAACTTTGACTTCTCTAGCAGTTGAAATGAATCATACAACGGTTAAAACACCTTCCGTTGCCTTTTCCTCGAATCTTGTAGACCTGAAGTTATTAAATGTTGATATAGAAGATGAGGGGTTTTTCAAATGGATCTCATGTTCCTGCAAATTCATCAAGGAAATATATCTTTGTGATATTAGTATAACTGCTAATATCATCATCAAGAGCTCGTCTCTGGAAAAGTTTGGATATGTGGACGGTGGAAGGTTTACACCGAGCCATTTTAACATCTCAGGCGAGAAACTTGAAATCATAAATATTACCTGGATGCTTAATTTACCTGGTGACAAGTCGTTAAATATTTTTGCTCCAAGACTCAAAGATTTATGTTGGAGGGGGAGTCGGGTAAATCAGGGAAACCTGGGACCTCTAGAATGTTTAGAAAAGGCTGTTATTTGCCTGGAGCCTAAAGCAGATGACTCTGACAAACTGATTAAGCATTTTTACAGTTTACGCAGGGTTGAACGTCTTGTTTTAAATGCAGCGACCTTGAAGGTAATGAGAACCACAACCCTTCATACTGAATATTACTTTTCAGTGGAAAAAAACTAGATATTTTGTTATCCGAAATAATTTAATTATTTTGTTTCTCTCTTTACATTTCAGTTTAAACAGGATAACAATACTTTTACATTAAAATGGTCACACTTGCTATAACAAAATGAGAAACATGATATAGGTTTTGCCTTTATGACATTGCAGGCTTTGTTCAGGGAAGGGTACACGCATGCTCAATTTGATCGTCTTTTTTATTTGGAATTGAATCTAAGGAGCTTTTCTGATGATATCTTTCCTGCAGTGGTCTCTCTATTAAGAGGATTGCATAATTTGTGTACTTTATACATAAGTTGTTTTGCTGTCCCAAGTTCTAAGGACCCTCAACCCAATGTAAGTTAAGTCTATGATTTCCTTTCTTAATATCGTAAAACGTCTATCTACTTATGAAATAAAATTTGGTTCCAACTTGGGCTAGTTACAAGTATTATTAACCTCCATGTCGTATTACGTAATAATTTCATTACATCTGTTTTAAAACTTGTCTCCACATTGCAAAAATTGTCAAAAAACCTAAAAGATGAAGTGTCATGATTTAAGTTTTAAGATGAAATCAAATAATTCTCTTAAGAATGCAGTCTCCCAATATTTATTTAGGTCCCGGTTTAAGATAAAGTTGTTCTACACATGGTAAAAATTGTCGAGAATAGTTTATTCTTTAGAGTTCTTGTCACGTCTTTGAGCTTGTGAATACATAATCACTTGTCAACATGGACACCTTTTTGGTGAAGCCGAGCTGCTCTTAGCTTCGTTTGGTTTCTTATTTTGTGGAAAATTTCAAATTGGTTGCTTGTTGACTTGTTGCTGTTGCAGTTATCTGGGTTTGATAAGGAATACTGGAAGCTGCAGAATCTGGATTTTATTGATCAGATTAAGGAGGTTACCATAGTGCTGGATGGGTCTAGTAACGGGATTGAGTTTGCACGGTATATACTCGAGAATGCCAAGAACCTGGAGCAAATTCACTTACAACATTTATTGGATCTGCCTGATGATGCTATACAGAAGCTAAATGAAAGTGACATGTCCAGGGCAGCGGTTAATTTTGAGGAAGACTACGAGGAAGACTCCGATGAAGACTACGAGGAAGACTCCGAGGAAAACTTCGAAGAAGACATTGAGGAAGACTAAACGAGATAACAAAGAAAGCAGTTTTGATGTTTTGCGGTTGTTTTTTGCTATGATATTGAAACCTTAATATACATGTTGATATACCGTCGTTAATTCTTATCGTCTGAAAAAAATTCTCTGGAATTAGAGAAAACCAAAATCAAGGAGAAAAAGAATTACTTCAATCTCATTTGGGATTCCGAAACTTAATTTGCATCACGTTGCACTTTGAAACTCAATTTTTGCATCATCTTGAAACTTAATTTGCATCACTTTAAACCGAAATCAAAGTAGCTTGAATTTTAAGCCTTTTAAATCAAAACCATGAAGTTTTAGAATCATAAGATGTGATTGAAATTTTTAGCAACTTAAGATCATGCTTAATTTTGAGTGCAATATTGATATAGAATTTTATCACGGTGTCGAAAAATAATTATGTCTATGTATTAGATGCCAGTGTAATATTTTTTTTTTTAATAAATAATTATTTAACTTATTGATGCTATCGGTAAAAAAAAAATTAATGTATGTCGAATCAAATTTCACTTTTCACATTGGAACCAATGAAAAGGGTGATATTTTTTACCAAACGAGAACGGACAAGGATTGTCTGCCCTCCTTGTTCCCGTGCCCTCTTATGTCCTCCTGTTTGTGCGGTCACTGTTAAGTCACGTCAATATTTTATATTACCATTCATTTTTGTCTTATTATCTCTATAAAAAAAAGTAATATAAAATGTTAACATGACTTAACCGTAACCACACAAAACAGGAGGGCACGGAACAAAGTGGCAGACAATCCTTGTCCAACGAGAACCGACACCCCGAATCAAGACTTCAAAGAGTTAAACCCATTTACCGTCGGAAACACCAGTCAATCAACGCCACCCCCAAATTAACAAAGCTAGGGTTTACCGCGCCCTTCTTCGAATTCATCTAACTCCAGAATCTGTAGCACCAAGGAAGATGGAGGCACACTCACCCATCTGTGTTCGCACCCGCTCCTACTAACTGCACTGCCAGAGTAAGCTCGAATTCATCTGGGTACAAGAATGGTACACTCTCTCGCAACTGATTTTCTTTATTTCGGTTCAATCTTCAGTGTGTTAATTGATTTTTCAGGGTTTGGTTTTCAAATCCCCGTAGTATTAATCGAAACCGGCTTCAATTGAAAAACCCCAAAACACAAAATTTAGGTTTCATGGAATTGAAGCATGAGACATTGGCTAGTTCAAGTTTTGAGGGTCAAGGAAGTAGTCGTAGTTGTGAGGGTGAAGGAAGTAATCGTAGTCGTGAGGAAGACAGATTCAGCGGTCTCCCCAACAGAATTGCTTATCGAATTCTTTCGTTTCTTACCATAAAGGACGTTGCTTGTTTCAGCATTGTGTCCAAAAGATGCAGAGAACTTTATCTGTCAACTCCGTCATTGGATTTCGAATTCATGACTACAGGAGCACCCTGGGGTGAGTGGAAGTGTTTTTGCGAGGCCTCGTGTGAGGTTAGGTTGAAGTTGGTGAACTCATTGGATAGGTTCTTGCTTCAACGCGGGGATAATAAGATTGAGTACTTTCGTCTTGTGTGGAAGAGTCACGCTGTATACGAATAAAATGATGAAGCACCATGCTTCTGTGTTAATGAGCATTTTCGAATAGTGACTTGGATTCACAATGCACTGAGGTGTAATGTTAAAGTTCTTGATGTTAAGAACCGTGTAGTTGATTTTGAGGATGAATTGTACACATTATTTCCTTCTTGTGTCTTTCTCTGTGCAACTTTGACTTCTCTAGCGGTTGACATGGATTTTACAATGGTTAAAACACCTTCCGTTGCCTTTTCCTCGAATCTTGTATACCTGAAGTTATTAAATGTTAAAATAGAAGATGAGGGGTTTTTCAAATGGATCTCATGTTCCTGCAAATTCATCAAGGAAATATTTCTTTTTGGTATTAGCGTAAGAGGTAATATCATCATCAAGAGCTCTTCTCTGGAAAAATTTGGATATGTGGACGGTGGCAGCTTTACACTGAGCCATCTTAACATCTCAGGTGAGAAACTTGAAGTCATAAATATTACCTGGAGGTTTAATTCACCTGATGACAAGTCGTTAAATATTTTTGCTCCAAGACTCAAAGATTTATGTTGGAGGGGGAGCCTGGTGAATCAGGCAAACCTGGGAGAGCTAGAATGTTTAGAAAAAGCTGATATTTGCCTGGAGCCTAAAGCAGACGACTCTGACAAACTGATTAAGCATTTTTACAGTTTACACAGGGTTGAACATCTTGTTTTAAATGCAGCGACCTTTAAGGTAATGAGAACCACAACCCTTCATACTGAATATTACTTTCCGGTGAAAAAAAACTAGATATTTTGTCATCCGAAATAATTTATTTATTTTCTTTTCTCTTTACATTTCAGTTTAAACAGGATAACAATGCTTTTACATTAAAATGGTCTCACATGTTGTAACAAAATGAGAAACATGATATAGGTTTTGCCCTTATGACATTGCAGGCTTTGTTCAGGGAACGATCCACGCATGCTCAGTTTGATCGTCTTTTTTATTTGCAATTGAATCTACGGAGCTTTTCTGATGATATCTTTCCTGCAGTGGTCTCTCTATTAAGAGGATTGCATAAATTGTGTACTTTATACATAACTTATTTTGCTGTCCCAAGTTCTATGGACCCTCAACCCAATGTAAGTTAAGTCTATGATTTCCTTTCTTAATATCATGAAACCTCCATCTACTCATGAGAAAAAATGATCCCGACTTGAGCTAGTTATAAATATTATTAACCTCCATGTCATAAATACGTAATAATTTCTTTACATCTGTTTTAAGAGACTTGTCTCCACATTGTAAAAGTTGTCAAAACAACCAAAATATGAAGTGTTACAATTTAAGTTTTAAGATGAAATCAAATAATTCTCCAAAGTACGCAGTGTCCCAATGTTTATTTAGGTCCCGTTTTAAGATAAACTTGTCGACACATAGTAAAAATTGTCAAGAATAATTTATTTTTTAGTGTTTTTGTCACGTCACTGAGCTTGCGAATACATAATAACTCATCAACATGGACACCTTGTTGGTGAAGCCAAGCTGTTACTAGCTTCTTAAGCATGCTTATATCTTCTTGTGATGAAACTTCTGGCATTTGATACTGTATTTTGGAGATTGAAATGCTCCTTATATTAGTAGAATTGCTTTTTAGGGTATTTCATTTGGTTTCTTATTTTGGGGAAAATTTCAAATTGGTTGCTTGTTGACTTGTTGCTGTTGCAGGTATCTGGGTTTGATAAGGAATACTGGAAGCTACAGAATCTGGATTTTATTGATCAGATTAAGGAGGTTACCGTAGAGCTGGATGGGTCTAATAACGGGATTGAGTTTGCACGGTATATACTCGAGCATGCCAAGAACCTGGAGCAAATGTGCATACAAAATTTTTTGGATCTGTCTGATGATGCTATACTGAAGCTAAATGATAGCAAGAAGATGTCCAAGGCCACAGTTATCTTTGAGGCAGGCTACCGCAGTAGGCCACGGTTTGATTTCGACTGGGAGGAAGACTAAGGAAAACTTCGAAGAAGCATTCGAGGAATACTAAACGAGATAAACAAAGAAAGCAAATTTGATGTTCTTCAGAAGTTGTGTTTTGCTATCATATCGAAACCTTAATGCACATGTTGATATAGCGTTGTTAAAATTTATCGTTGAATGGAAAAAAGTTCTCGAATTAGGGAAAGTCGAAATGTAGGAGAAAAAGAATCCACGACCAAGCAGATCTTAAATCAGCTCGTTAAAGGCTTATTTTTTGGTATGTCCCTTGTAATTTTACTTCAATTTCAGTTTGACTTCTGAAACTTCGTTTGCATCACCTTGCACTCTCGAACTCAATTTTGCGTCACTTTGCACTTTCAAACTCGATTTTGCATCGCTTTGCTATATTTCGCTAGGGGGAGAGAGGGAGAGAGAGAGTTAACACACTACTAATCAAAGCTAATGTCGTTTTTTTATTGATTTAACTACATATGAATACAAGTGTGGTAAATGGTCGCTTACAAAAACAACTTTTTCATATGAGTGCTTCATATATATATATATATAGGAAAGACTTATTATACAAAATAGTTTCTGAGATTTGCATAATCAATAAAAATGGTCCTGAGATTAAAATCAATAGAAATTGTCTTTGAGATTGTCAACCATTCATGATTTTGGTCATTCCTAAAACTCTTTGGGCAATTTTTAAAGTTCTGTAACTCAATTTATTCTACACTTTTCTATCTTCATTTTAATATATTATGGGTCGAATTTGATTAAGAAACGATTGAGTTACAAAGCTTTGAAAATTGCCCAAATAATTTTTAACGGAATGACCAAAATCATGGATGGTGAACAATCTCATAGACCATTTCTAGTGATTTTAAATCTCAGGGACCATTTATATTGATCATGCAAATCTCAGGGACCATTTTGTATAATAAGCCTATAGGAAACCTTAAGGAAATGGATTCTCATTTTTTGTTTTTATAAAAATGGAGATTAGTTGTGGAATTCACACCAACATCAAACTTTAACGATCTAAACCGTTTATATTTCAAGTTGCACCTTATAGATTATCCTTGCAAAGTATTAGCCAAATCAGAAATGTTTAAGACATCTAATTGAATTCAAAGAAATTAACGAATACTTTGTTATATAAGAAAAAAAATGAAATTTTATCTTAATAATTATATAGGCAAATAGTTTCGGATTGAATTGAATTTTTGTTTGGTCTATAAAACGAGACTTACAAAATAGACAGTTCGGATCGCTGAAGTTCGATGTGAAGTGAGCCCACACATAATCCCCATTTTTTGAAAAAAAAAAATGAGAATCTCTTTGCACAAAGGGCATATATACAGGCCCTTTAACAAGAAGGATCCCTATTTTTTTTTACAGGAACACCATTTTGATCGTTGGATTGATTTAAATGAAATTGTATAGTTGAGACTAAATTACATGGCACACAATTTCATTAAAGTCAAATCTAATTGTTAAAAGGGTGTCTCAATTTTTTTAGAAAAAATGGATCCCCTTGTTAAGGATTCCTATATATATATTCTCAAAAATCAGTAAAAAGACACCCCCAATTTTATAAACTTAGGGTTCTTTGTACTCTTCTTTCTTCGAGTTCGAGGTAAGGGCACAATGCATCGGCCCCAATTTTGGCTCCAACGTGCTGCTACTAGCTACAGTATGATCGGATTCTGTTGGTACGAAATGGGTAAGTACCACTTTTCTGCATTTTGATTCACATTGATGATTTGGTGTTCAATTCTCTTTGCATCGTAGTAGAAATTGAAATTCCAGCTTTACATTGCAAACCCCTACCACAGAAATTAGTTCACGAGTCGCAAGCTTAAGTTAATGGCTTCTGCAAGTCGTCGAGGTGAAGGAATTTGTGGTCGGCGTGAAAGTGAGAGTATGATAGATGTATTTAGTAAGCTTCCAGACCAGATTTCCCATCACATTCTTTGCCTACTTGCTGTAACCGACCTCGCTCGTTTCGGTTGTGTGTCCAAAAGATGCAGAGAACTTTGCCTGTCATCTCCCAAGTTGAATTTGGATGAATTTTCCTCGGTGAATACGTCCACTTGTTATAAGCGGCTCGAGTTGTTTACCTATTTGGATAGGTTCTTATTCCGCCGTGGCGATAATAAGATACAAAGCTTTCGCCTTTGTTGGTATAGGCATGATGTATGTGAGGGTGAAGATGAAGAAGCACAATGCGTCTGTGATTGTTGTGCGAGTTTCAGACTGTTTACGTGGATTGAAAATGCAGTAAGGTGTAATGTTGAAGTGCTTGATGTGGCGATGAATTATCAGGACGAGGAGGAACGGTTTCTGTTTCCTGCTAGTGTCTTTTGTGTGGAACTTTGAGGCATCTAAGACTGCACCTGAACTGTACAGTTCTTAAGAATCCGTCGTTCGCTTTTCAATCTAATCTCAAGATCTTGGAGTTGAAAAATGTTGATATAGATGATGGTGGTGGATTTTTCAAATGGATCTCGTGTTGCTGTAAATTCATTGAGGAATTAAGCCTTGAACACGTTTGTGTGACACAAGAAATTTCTGTTGAAAGCTCGTCTCTGAAAATACTAAACTGTTCTGGTTTCTTTCTGATTGATAAATGTCATATTAACATCTCATGTGAGAAGCTTGAGTACATACGTATTTGCTGGGTATTTGACTCACCGAGAAACAAATCCTTAAATATGTTTGCCCCAAATCTGAAGTCTTTCAAATGGTTCGGGAGTTTGATGAATCACTCAAATTTGGGAAAATTAGAACGCTTAGAAGTAGCTTCTTTTTTCTTGGAGCCAACACTGGATATCTTGGACAATATAGTCGAGGTTCTTCACAGTTTATGCAGGGCTAAACTTTTTATGCTAAATGAAGCGACCATTAAGGTAAACAGAACTGTAACATCTAAAACTGATTTTTCATTTTCTTTTTGAACTTCTTTCAACTTTTTTCCTTTACTTCTTTGTGATATGGCAATGATAGGATTAGTTACTTTACGTTCCTTAAGCTACAACGCTGTTTTAAAATTGAGATATGACATTAATCTTACATGAACCAGAATGTAAATTCACTTCTATTCTGAGTTTTGTGGAAAATAATAAAAAATATATTGCGAAACAAGTTTGTTTTTGCAATTTGATTTTTTTTTTTTTTTTTTTTACTCATTTTGTTATCTGGAAACTTTAGGATTAGATAATTTATGTTTCTTATGCTCCAATGTGATGATATTAGTTTTACGTGTAAATTCATACCAATGCTAAATTTTGTTGAAAAGAATAAAAAATAAAATGAGAAACAATATACCATTGCAGGCTCTTCCGTTGAAGGAATTATCATCTAGGCCAGCTCCACTATGTGATACTAGTTCTTTGTGTATCGAAATTGGAAGCTTTATTGATGAGCTGATCCCAGCAATGGTCTCTCTCTTCAGAGCAATGCCTAAGCTTTGTACTTTATGCATAATGTTGAATCCGCCTTCTGGTGCCCCTACCTCTAATGTAAGTTTTTGCCGGTGCTTGCTTCAAGAGTATAAGCTCCCCCTCTGTACTTCTTTCTCCTTCTCTCTCTCTCTCTTCCTCTTGCTTGAAGATGCCAAATGAGTGGCGAATGAGCACTTTGGTGCCTATCTACAAGAATAAGGGCGACGTACAAAATTGCATGAACTATAGGGGTATTAAGCTAATGAGTCATACAATGAAGCTCTGGGAGAGAGTCATTGAGCATAGATTGAGGCAAGAGACACGGGTTTCGGACAACCAATTCGGGTTCATGCCAGGGCGCTCAACCATGGAGGCAATCTATCTCTTACGAAGATTGATGGAAAGATATAGAGATGGGAAAAAGGATTTACACATGGTCTTTATAGATTTGGAAAAAGCGTATGATAGGGTCCCAAGAGACATTCTTTGGAGGATTTTAGAGAAGAAAGGAGTACGAGTAGCATATATCCAAGCTATAAAGGATATGTATGAAGGAGCAAAGACTGCCGTAAGAACTCATGAAGGACAAACCGAAAGCTTTCCCATAACTGTAGGATTACATCAAGGCTCATCCTTAAGTCCTTACCTTTTTGCGTTGGTAATGGATGAGTTAACACGACATATTCAAGATGATATTCCTTGGTGTATGCTTTTCGCAGACGATATAGTGTTGATAGATGAAACTCAGGAAGGGGTAAATGCAAAGCTTAACCTTTGGAGAGAAGTGTTGGAATCTAAAGGTCTTCGCCTAAGCCGATCAAAGACAGAATATATGGAGTGCAAGTTCAGTGCAAATGGAGGCCAAAACGAGTTAGGGGTGAGGATCGGAGATCAAGAAATACCAAAGAGCGACCGTTTTCGTTACCTAGGATCTATCTTGCAAAAGAACGGAGAATTAGATGGAGATCTCAACCATAGAATACAAGCTGGATGGATGAAGTGGAAGAGTGCATCCGGCGTGTTGTGTGACCGCCGTATGCCACTGAAGCTCAAGGGAAAATTTTATAGGACGGCAATAAGGCCGGCGATGCTGTATGGCACAGAATGTTGGGCGGTGAAACATCAACACGTACACAAAATGGGTGTAGCGGAGATGAGGATGCTTCGTTGGATGTGTGGGCACACGAGAAAGGATAAGATTAGGAATGAGGATATCCGGGGTAAAGTAGGAGTAGCCGAAATTGAAGGAAAGATGAGAGAAAATCGGTTACGGTGGTTTGGACATGTGCAAAGAAGGCCTACTGACGTTCCGATTAGAAGATGCGACTATGGGACAGAGGTTCAGGGCCGAAGGGGTAGAGGAAGACCTAGGAAAACTTTGGAAGAGACTCTAAGAAAAGACTTAGAGTACTTGGATCTAACGAAGGACATGACACAGGATCGAGCACAATGGCGTTCTAAGATTCATATAGCCGATCCCACTCAGTGACTTGGATTTTCCAAGTCTCCAACCGAGAAGTTTTCCTCATTCGGGAAATTAAGAGAACACTACCCCAACCTACATGCTCCACTCAGAAAGCTTCAACATACAAGCTTTAACAAAAGAAAATTCAAAGAACTTAGCGAAGAAGGCTTTGGTGTATTTAACACAATACGTTGAAATGAAGGAAAGCTTATTTATTGATATCCCCGATAAGCTACAAATATGTACATATACATGAGTCAAAATAAGCACACAAGAGGGAGCCTTCACAAAGGTTGCTTAGGAGAAGTCTCAGCAGTCGGTAGAGCCCCAGAAAGAGAAGGCACCGGAGGGGTATCATTTGGAGCCTCAGTACTGGACAGAACCCTAGAAGGAGGAGGCATCAGAGGTTGATCATTTGGAGCTTCATTACGCGGTACAGCCCCAGAAGACGAAGGCAATAAATGCCTTTGGAACAAACCCACAAATCTCTGATGATCAAGTAAAACCTGACCATCAGTTTCCTTCATCTGGTCAAGCTTCCTCTTCATGTTTGTAGCATAGTCATGTGCGAGCCGGTGCAACTGTTTATTCTCATGCTTGAGCCCTCTAATCTCCTGTTTGAGACTCATCACTTCAGCCGCCAATGATTCAACTTGGCGGGTTCGAGCAAATAGGCGTTGGGCCATATTAGACACAGAACCTGCACACTGAACACTGAGAGCCAGCGAATCCTTAACAGCTAACTCATCAGACCGTTTGGAAAGTAGTCTGTTATCTTTGGGAGTGAGAAGGTTCCTGGCCACCACCGCAGCGGTCATATCATTCTTCATCACGGAATCCCCAACGGTAAGAGGACCAGTAGGGGAGACGAAGGATGGGCGCCATATGTTGTCTGGAGAAGGCGGGGCTGCCTCTTCAACAAGGTTCAAGTCAAAACGACGGTCGGAGGGGCCAGACATTTTCAAAGGTGTTGAAGAGAGAAGAGGTCGGACAAATCAAGATCTTAGAAGTGCAAGAATGAAGCTTCTACTGGTGGAGATTTAAGTGTGCTTTGGAACTTAATGCCAGCCCCTATAAAAATCTGCACTCGACGAAGCTTCAGAAATCGAAGAGGCGCCTGCTCAGAAATCGAAGAGGCGTTTGCTTTCTCAAAAGCTGGGCTGCTTAGAGATCACGAGGGTTGATCTCAGAAATCGAAGAGGCGTTTGCTTTCTCAAAAGTTGGGCTGCTCAAAGACCACGAAGGCCAATCTCAAAAATCGAAGAGGCGCTCGCTTTCTCAAAAGCTGGGCTCCCTGAGACCACCCCTAGAGACCGACGGGCCGATATCAGAAATCGAAGAGGCACCTACTTTTCCAACCTTTTCCAGCCTTGTCAGCACCTGTCACACGCACACTCAGTTCTGCGGAAATTATGGGCATTCTGTCAAAGACTTCTGGGGAAGTAGAAAAACACATGAATCTTACTGTTCAATCACCCACTTCCTACACGCAACAATAGCTCATGGGTACCACAGATAACTTTGCCAAAGTTCTCTGCCAAAGTTGAGCACGTGAAGCTTGCAGCTCCCACTACATCGCTCTGACCAAGAAGGGTAAAAGAATAGCAAAGAAACAGCACTAACAAAGTTTAGACCCATAAATTTTGAAGGTCTAGCTACCATATTATTACCCACAAGGGTAAAGGAACAGTACCACTGCTGGATAATTGGAAAGTCCCTGTGTGTCAACCTCTGTGCTTCGTGGCAAGGTAGACTAGCAAACATGCCCAACCTTTACTCACATTCGAGAAAACACTCCCAATAAGATTGCTTGCTCCAAAATCGAAGAGGCACCGTCCTCCGAATCTCGAGAGCCAGACTCCCAACATGACTACTTTCTTAAAAATCGAAGAGAGGGTAAAGGAACAGTACCATTGCTGCTGATAATTGGAAAGTCCCTGTGTGTCAACCTCTGTGCTTCGTGGCAAGGTAGACTAGCAAACATGCCCAACCTTTACTCACATTCGAGAAAACACTCCCAACAAGATTGCTTGCTCCAAAATCGAAGAGGCACCGCCCTCCGAATCTCGAGAGCCAGACTCCCAACATGATTACTTTCTCAAAAAATCGAAGAGACACTGCTCCCCGAATCTCGAGAGCCAGACCCCCAGCATGATTGCTTTCTCAAAAATCGATGAGGCATCGTTCTCCGAATCAATCGAAGAGGGCGCTCGCTTTCTCAAAAGCTGGGCTGCTCAGAGACCACGAGGGCCGATCTCAGAAATCGAAGAGGCACCTACTTTTCTAGCCTTGTCAACACCTGTCACACGCACACTCAGCTTTGCAGAAATTATGGGCATTCTGTCGAAGACTTCTGTTGAAGTAGAAAGCACATGAATCTTACTGTTCAATCACCCACTTCCCACACGCAACAATAGCTCATGGGTACCACAAATAACTTTGCCAAAGTTCTCTGCCAAAGTTGAGCACGTGAAGCTTGCAGCTCCCACTACATCGCTCTGACCAAGAAAGGTAAAAGAATAGCAAAGAAACAGCACTAACAAAAGTTTAGACACATAAATTTTGAAGGTCTAGCTACCATATTATTACCCACAACTGTAAAGGAACAGTACCACTGCTGGATAATTGGAAAGTCCCGGTGTGTCAACCTCTGTGCTTCGTGGCAAGGTAGACTAGCAAACATGCCCAACCTTTACTCACATTCGAGAAAACACTCCCAATAAGATTGCTTGCTCCAAAATCGAAGAGGCACCGTCCTCCGAATCTCGAGAGCCAGACTCCCAACATGACTACTTTCTCAAAATCGAAGAGAGGGTAAAGGAACAGTACCATTGCTGGATAATTGGAAAGTCCCTGTGTGTCAACCTTTGTGCTTCGTGGCAAGGTAGACTAGCAAACATGCCCAACCTTTACTCACATTCGAGACAACACTCCCAACAAGATTGCTTGCTCCAAAATCGAAGAGGCACCACCCTCCGAATCTCGAGAGCCAGACTCCCAACATGATTACTTCCTCAAAAATCGAAGAGACACTGCTCTCCGAATCTCGAGAGTCATACCCCCAGCATGATTGCTTTCTCAAAAATCGAAGAGGCATCGTTCTCCGAATCTCGAGAGCCAGATACCACAGACCACTTTTTCAAAGTGCTCTGACAGAGTTAAAACATGTGAAACTGGCAGCTCCCACTACCGTGCTATGACCAAGCAGGGTAAAGGAATAGCATTACTACTTGTTGTTAGGGAGACTCCTATATATGTCGACCTCCATCCCCAACGGACAGGCAGACCTGCAAAAATGCTCAACCCTTCATCATATCTGAGAGGGCACTCCCAACGAAGCCTTTCGAAATATTCAGCTTTCTTTCCCCCCGATAATACCTCTGCAAACAAGCTATACTAGAGCAAGAATATCTCATATCATCAGGGTTAAAAGCAAGAGTATCCCATATCATGCTTTTTCCCTGTCTTTTCTTTTGGCCTTGTTTTTACCTGCAAGACAAGGAGAAAGAGAGCAATTAGTCAGCACTTGGAATCAAGCTTCCAGCCAGGAACTGACTGCCTGGAACCCCTTACCTGATTACTTACCTGGCATTGCTCTCGAGTACTCATCTTCAACATCTTATGTTTCTAGGGAAGATTCCGCATCTGCTTGAGGAACAGATAGGGCAAGTGCGAAGGATACAAGGAAGCATGTGGAGACAAGCGTAACAGCACACGTGCCGATACATTCATTACTCTGTCAAAAGCAAAAGTATCCCATATCAGCAGGGTGGAACGTACTCTAGATTTGATGGACTTGTTTTGACCCTCAAATTCTTCAGTCGGCCTTATACTCTGGAGGAAACCAGAAAACCCTCCAGCTCAGTTCAAGAATAAGCCTGTGGAAAGTTACTTCTTCAAAAGCAAAAGTATCTCATATCATCTCTTCTCATTTTTCTTCTCTTTATCCTTCATGCTGCTGCAAGATGGGGAGAAGGTGAACAATCAGTCGGAGCTCTGATTGCTTACCTTGTCTGTCACCTCTTTCAGCAGACCCCCTAGCTCGGCGACTTGGGGGACTCCTACTACATGGTTTGTATCGCGCTTGACCAAGCCTGAAACTACAAGTAAGCTTCAAGTGAAATTGATACATTACCTTGTGCATCTCCACCAGTTAAAGATACCACCCCTGGATGGAGGAAGAGTACTTCCAGAGAAGATGCCACATCTACCTATGAGACAGATAAGGCAAGTCAAGACGACACCACACACTCCGATACTTAGAAGTTTCGTGATTACGAGATCATTCTCCCACAATATTTCCTAATGTCATTTGTACTAAATCATTCACTTGTACTCACTAAATGAGAGCTTGAACCTATGTACTTGTGTAAACCCTTCACAATTAATGAGAATTCTTCTATTCCGTGGACGTAGCCAATCTGGGTGAACCACGTACATCTTGTGTTTGCTTTCCTATCTCTATCCATTTATATACTTATCCACACTAATGACTGGAGCAATCTAGCGAAGATCACAAAAAGCGATCGTTTTCGCTACCTAGGATCTATCTTGCAAGAGAACGGAGAATTAGATGGAGATCTCAACCATAGAATACGAGCTGGATGGAAAGAGTGCATCCGGCGTGTTGTGTGACCGTCGTAGGCCACTGAAGCTCAAGGGAAAATTTTATAGGACGGCAATAAGGCTAGCGATGTTGTATGGCACAGAATGTTGGGTGGTGAAGCATCAACACGTACACAAAATGGGTGTAGCGGAGATGAGGATGCTTCGTGGGATGTGTGGGCACACGAGAAAGGATAAGATTGGGAATGAGGATATCCGAGGTAAAGTAGGAGTAGCCGAAATTGTAGGAAAGATGAGAGAAAATCGGCTCCGGTGATTTTGAACATGTGCAAAGAAGGCCGACTGACGCTCCGGTTAGAAGATGTGACTACGGGACAGAGGTTCAGGGCCGAAGGGGTAGAGGAAGACCTAGGACAACTTTGGAAGAGACTCTAAGAAAAGACTTAGAGTACTTGGATCTAACGGAGGACATGACACAAAACCGAGCGCAATGGCGTTCTAGGATTCATATAGCCGACCCCACTTAGTGGGAAAAGGCTTTGTTGTTGTTGTTGTTGTTGTTGTATATATTATAACGCAATTATTTCTTTCTTAAATTTGGGTTGATTTGTATGTTGCCTGTTTTCCTTTCCAGGCATCGGGGATTAGCATGGAATACTGGAAGTTGCAAAACCTCGCGTTTGTTTATCAGCTCAAGCACGTTGCTATAGAGCTTTGCCACGGGTCTAATGGAATGGAGTTAGCAAGGTACATTATCGAGTATGCTCAGAATTTGCAAAAGATGGTAATAGTTTATTCTTCCCAGGACTTGGAAAAAATTACAAGGGAGTTAGAGAAAAGCAAGATGATTCCCAATGCGACAATTGACTTCCAGGAAAAATCGATCAAGAGGTAGAAGAAAGCTGTTTCGATAATTTTCAGAATTTATTTTTGTTGCAATGTCGAAACCTTAGTAGTCAGGGCCGGACCTGTGTACAGACATTAGGCTATAGCCGAGACTAGAATTTTGTTTTCAAAATTAGCAAGGAAAGCTTTCTTTCAAAATTATTGTGGTTTGTCTTCTGAAGGCCTTTTGGAACTGCTCATGTATGAGCTTCTCTCTTTGGCTTCTGCATTTGCGTTTTAGTCTGTGAAAGTTGTAAAACACGGAATCACGCAATGCACGTAAACATGCCTAGTTTTCATTTCATGCTTTGCTCGGTATACATGGCTTTCTTCTGTCTCCCCTGCCCTTTTCCCGTCTCTCATTACTACCATATATTTCGCTCTAGTACAAATCGCAAGTAAAAATGTTGCCAAAGAGGCTAGGTTTTTTTTTTTGGTCAGTTCTCTCTCTCTTCTTGCACTTTGACAATCAGTGTGCTGACATGGTTGCGGCTGCCCCACCGCCGGGGGGGAGGGTGGTGGGGTTGAGTGTGTGGCCGGCGGTGGTTAAGCTTGTGCGGGAAGCTGACAAGCCCGTGATTCGTGATTCATGGACTATGTCTACATATATTTCTGTAGACTGTCTATATTCTTACTGTGGCTGAACAATAATCATGTTTTGAAGCGTGAAACCAAATCTCCATAATTTGGTATTTATTTAAAAAAAGAAAAAGAAAAAGGAAGATTCATAAGAATTACAAATTTAAAGGAAGATTCGGTAGTACTACGGTCTAGTAGTATTCATTTTTACTTGTAAGTGAGAGTTATTAGGTTTAATTCTCGTCAAAATTAAATTTGAACTACATTATTACTAACACATTGTGAGGTTAAGCACACCTCACATCTCATATCTCTTAATTTAGATAATATCGTTTATTCCAAAAAATAAAAATAAAATAACTTGTAGTCCTTCATCTAATTCCCCTCCAAATGAAAAATCATTCACTTCCACCTTTAAATATACCTTAAAATTTAATTCTTTGTTCTAACTTTTTTATGTGTATTCAACGAGCCATATCTTCTTATAATTTGGAGGTCGCACTTGGTGTGATGGCAAATGTCTTCGCCCATGAGCGGTAAGTCTCGGGTTCGAGACTTGGGAGCAGCCTCTTCATAAATGGGGGTAAGGCTAGCCGACATTCACCTCTCACAGACCCTGCGTAAAGCGGGAGCCTTGTGCACTGGGTACGACCTACTAAATAATTCTTCCACTCAGTGTAAATATATTATTGTCAAAAAAAAAAAAACCTAAAATAAATTTGAATAATATAGGTTTCGGCGGGCGATGTCGAAAAAATAAAAAGTAAAAAGTAAATAAGGTTTTGGCGGGCCAAAAGAAAATTTCACGCGGCAAATCGGGACTCGAATTTGCGGGAACAAATTTAGAGGTAATCGACAAAAATACTAAACTTATAAAAGCCTAGGAAGGAACCGTCAGAACGCCCACCCCACTACCAAAAGCCCCAAATCAACAAATTTAGGGTTTTTCAAGATCCAGATTCGGGACGGAGGATGATGGGAGCGCACCGCCGATTCCGGCTCGCTGATGGACTGATGGTGGGTACGATCGAGATGGGTAAGTGAGTGCTGGCATTTCTTCATTTCTGTTCACTGTGCAAAGAGAAAGGCATAACTTGATTGATGCTTTACTGTTAAATTCTCCGTGATTCGTAGTAGAAACTGAAAAGCCATCTTCTTTTGCAAAACCCTAAATTCGGATTTTGATTAGCTTTCATGGAAGGCGAAGGTAAGTTAAAAGCTACTGCAAGTCCCCGAGGCGAAGGAGTTTGTAGTGAGAGTGAGAGTACAATAGATGTATTTAGCAAGTTTCCAGACCAGATTTCCCATCACATTGTCTCCTTTCTTACTGTGACCGATCTCACTCGCTTCGGTTGTGTGTCTAAAAGATGCAGAGAGCTTTGCCTGTCATCCCCTAAGTTGAACTTCGATGGGTTTTCGTTAGCGAATACGTCCACTTGTTATTACCGGCTCAAGTTGTTGAGTTATTTGGATAGGTTCTTTTTCCATCGCGGGGATAGTAGGATACAGAGCTTTCGTGTTCGTTGGTTAAAGCATGAGGAATACAAGCTTGAAGAATACGAGGGTGAAGAACCACCGTGCTTCTGTGCTCGTGATTGCTACGAAGGTACCCGAATGTTCACATGGATCCAAAATGCGGTTAGGTGTAAGGTCGAAGTGCTGGATCTTGAGACAGATGTATATGATTGTGAGCTTGAACCGTTTCCATCTTGTGTCTTTCAATGTGAAACTTTGAGGTATCTAGTGCTGCATGTGAATTGGACGATTCTTAGGACTCCCTTGTTCACTTTTTCATCTAATCTCAAGTATTTGGAGTTGAAAAAAATCGTTATAGAAAATGAGGGATTTTTCAAGTGGATCTCCTGTTGCTGCAAATGCATCGAGGAATTAAATCTTCAAAAAGTTCATGGGATAGAAACTATGACCATCAAAAGCTCGTCTCTGAAAAAACTGAACCTTTCTGGTTTTTCTATTGCCCTCTGCCATATTAACATCTCGTGTGAGAACCTTGAAGGTATATATATAGGCTGGACTTTTTACTCAGCCAGCAACAAATCCTTAAATATCTTTGCCCCAAATCTCAAGCATTTGAAATGGATTGGGGACATGGTGAAACACCCAAATCTGGGAAAATTTGAATGTTTGGCGGACGCTGAACTTGCCTTGAATTCTCAAGGGGATGACAAGGACAATGTATTTGAGGTTCTTGACAGTTTATGCAGGGTTAAAGTTCTTGTTCTGAATGAAGCGACCATTAAGGTAAAGTGAACCAGAGTCATTCGGACTTTTTTTTCTATTACTTCTTAGTGGTATGTCAATGATGGGATTAACTAGTTTATATTTCTTACAATCTCATGTTTTTAGTTTTACAAATCCGTGTTATAGGTTTTTCTGAAAAGAAAGGAATTAAACTGAGAAATGTGATCTATAACGTTGCAGGGCCATTTCAGGGGTGGATCCAGGCCAGCTCCATTATATGATACCTTTTATTTGGGTATGACTTTCGAAAGCTTCGTTGATGAGTTGATCCCAGCAATTGTCTTCCTTTTGAGGGGAATGCCTAATCTGTTCAATTTAATATTAATGAAGTATAATCCACATGTTGAGGCCTCTGAATCTAATGTAAGTTTAACCCCACTCCCCTGCTCTTTGTTGGCATGATATTCATGATTTCAACTTGTTATTTTCTGGGTATTGTCAATTGATTTGCGTCTTGTCGTCTTTCCTTTCCAGACATCTGGGATTGATATCGAATACTGGAAGTTGCAAAACCTTGCATTTGTTTATCAGCTTAGGCAGGTTACCATAGAGCTTTGCAATGGGTCTAATGGAATAGAGTTCGCGAAGTATGTGCTCGAGTGTGCTCCCAAATTGGAGAAAATGGTCATTGTTTATTTACCCCAGGATTTGGAGAAAGTTGCAAGGAAGTTAGAGAAAAGCAAGATTTCCAATGCCGCCGCAGCTGTCTTCTTTCAAGAAAAACCAATCAAGATATAGGATAATGTACTTCCGATCGTTTTCAGGGTTTCTTTATGTTGCAATGTAGAAACCTTTGTATGCTGAGATTATCGGAAGCATCGTTTCAGGATTTTGTTGGTTTTCTCAAGTGTTTTTGTTGTCTTCTTTCTTAAGCATTATTGAACTCGTCAAGTTGAACCTAAAATCGCACTTTTATGTCAAGAGAAATACTATTACATCGTAGTGCTAGTGGCAAAACTATGAAACTGGTTAGAAATAAAATCATGAAAGTGATGTACTCTAAACTTCAGTTAGAACCAAGGCTAGTTGATCTACTAACTTGAAAAGACAAGATTACGAAGACATCATCCTTCGAGATTTTACATACAGTACGAAGAACACAATAGCGCGTATACACATTCTGATACCCAGATCGTTTTCACCATTCTCCTTAATATTCCTCGAAAAGAATTGTGGCATTAGATACTGTGGTTTGTCTTCTGCATTTGCGTTTTAGTCTGTGAAAGTTGTAAAACACGCAATCACGCAATGCACGTAAACATGCCTAGTTTTCATTTGCGTTTTGTTGGTTTTTTTTTTTTTTTTTTTTTTCTCAGTTCTATGATCTCTTCTTGCACTTGACAATCAGTGTGCCGACAAGGTTGCTTCCGGTGCGGGTGGTGAGGGGGTGGCCGGTGCGGTGGTTAATATTGCGCGGGAAGCTGACAAGCCCATGATTCATGATTCATGATATTTCTGTAGACTGTCTATATTCTTACTGGGCTGAACAGTTATCATGTTTTGAAGCGTGAAACCAAATCTCCATAATTTGGGATTTGTTAAAAAAAAAAGAAAAAAAAAAAAGGAAGATTTCATAATAATTACAAATTTAAAGGAAGATTCGGTAGTATTACGGTTTAGTAGTATTCATTTTTACTTGTAAGTGAGAGTTCTTAGGTTTAATTCTCGTTAAAACTGAATTTAAACCATATTATTGTTAACTCATTGTGAGGTTAAACACATCTCATCTCCATTAGTTCAGATAATATCTTTTATTCAAAAAATAAAATAAAACTTAAAGCCTTAAATGTCCTCCATCTGATTCCCCTCCAAATGAAAAATCATTCACTTCCACCTTAAATATACCTTAAACTTTAGTTTTTTATTCTAATCTAATCATGTGTATTAAACGAGCCATATGTTCTTATAGTTAGCCACATTTCTTTTTTTATTTTCTAGAAAAAGATTTACATATTTCCAAGGAGTGAAGTTTAAATAATTTTGTCTCTTAACCAAATAACTCTTCCTCAGTGTAAATATATTGTTGTCTTAAAAAAAAAAGGCTAAAATAAATTTGAATAATATAGGTTTCGGCGGGTGATGTCGAAAAAATAAAAAGTAAATAAGGTTTTGGGGTGGCCGAAAGAAAATTTCACGCGGCAAATCGGGACTCGAATTTGCGGGAACAAATTTAGAGGTAATCGACAGAACACTGAAACTATAAAAGCCTAGGAACCATCAGAACGCCACTCTCAATTCTCACACACCACCAACGCTTAAACGACACCACCCAAAAGGCCCAAATCAACAAATTTAGGGTTCTTCAAGATCCAGATTCGGGACGGAGGATGATGGGAGCGCACCGCCGATTCCGGCTCGCTGATGGACTTATGGTGGGTACGATCGAGATGGGTAAGTGAGTGCTGGCATTTCTTCATTTCTGTTCACTGTGCAAAGAGAGAAGCATAACTTGATTGATGCTTTACT